GTGTGTGTGTGTGTGTGTGTGTGTGGCCAGCTCAGCCCACCAGGGGGCGGGGCTGGCTGGCATGTGGTGCTGGGGATTGATCCGCGGTCCATGTGTTTTTGCTAAACTTGTTCTAAGTAGGTGCTTTAGACCACTGAGCCATCTCACCAGCCCCAATGGTAATGTTTTTTATTGTAAGGCTATCATTGATTTCCAAATAAATTCATTGTAAGCACTATCAAAATACTGAGTATTGTTATTATAACTTGAAAATGTAGTTAATACCGTGGATGAGAATATCCAATAAGGATAGGAACCTAAAAAGTGTTTTGAAGTAAAAAGACTTATTTTTCCAGATAACCAACATGTTGAAAAAGATTAGTAATTGTAAGTGAGGCAAGATATTGTTTACTACAAACCTAGGCTATTTAGGTCATCACCACCTTCTATACACTATGCAAGTCTTAGTACTCTGTTTTTATTTTAAAAAACAGTTCTGGGATAATATATGTTACTATATAACCAGGAGGAAAAAAAAAAAGACAGTCACATATCACATATAATATAACAAAAAGTTACACTGAGGCACAGTATGCACAATTTCTGCACCAATTCTGCAGGATTTAACTATTTCCATAATTGTGCAGGGTTTTATTTGTCATCTGCACTTTTGTTTTATTCGATATTTATTATTGTAACATTTCTATAGAAAATATTTTAAAGGGAAATATATTTGCTCCAATGCAATCAAATTGCTTCATGTATTTGCTACAGTTTGAAAGCAAGAGTACAATCTAAATATTTAAGTAGAAAAATAGCATACCTCTATGCTTTTAATCCTACTCTCAAGGATATCAGAAATGCTGGTATGCACCAAAGTAGCTTTAATTTGTTTTTCAAGAGTTTGAATTTCATCCCATTTATTGAGTATTTCATATCTCTTCTTTTCAACCTTCTCAGTAAGAGTAAGATGTTCTTCATCAATTACAGTTTTTTGACAAGATTCTAGATATATATTTGAAAATAAAGTATTACTGAACTGAATACCTCAGCTATTTTGAATATCATTGTGTATTATTTACAATATTCTCTGTGTGAGGTATAATTATAAACTACAAAAGAGCTCAAATTCTAAGCATGTCAATGAAATGAACATGATCGGACTCAAAGATGGTATGTTCCACCTTTAATTCATTCAGATTGTTAGTGAGGATTTGTTGAGCACCCAGTTTTGCACATAGTTGGCTAGATGGGAAGGTTCACTAATAAATTATGAGATGGTGACAGTGAGGAAGTAGGAGGTGCAATGGAGACACAAACAGGAACATCTAGTCCATGGGGAGAAGCTCAAGGAGAATTTTACTAGACCAGTAGTGCTAATTTGAGTTGCAAGGATGAAAAGGAATAAGCGAAGTGCATGGGGTGGAGAGGAAGCAGAATATGGAACAGGACCTCAAGATACAATGTTGGAAAGGAAATAGGGAAGATCTAAAAAGGCACTTGCCTGATTTTTCCTTAGCAGATTGTAGCAACATGCACTCCATCTCTAATTCATTTCTCAGCCTACAAATTGATAATAAAAATAGTGATATCCCAGTGCCCCATTTGTACTATCTTTCTTTTGTCTCATTTATACTTATGTCATTTTGATGAAGAAACAACCTAATCTTCTTACTTTGTACCATAAATAGGATGCTAAAGATGTCTATGACAGCTCCAGCCAGTCAACTTAAAGTCAGATATGTGGGCATTAGGTCTGAAGGGCAGGATTAAGAAGTTATCTAGTTATATAGTTACATTCTGTTAATGAATAGAATGATTTGTTCTAATGGTGTTTGTAAATAGGATCACAAGTCCGCATCTTGTACAGCAATTAACCACTAAGAAGAATATATGCAGTGTATTATTTGTTGAAAAAAAAAAAGTTATCTGGTGGGGCCGGTAAGATAGCTTAGTGGTCTAAAGTGCCTGCTTAGGCAGGCTTGCAGGGACTGTGGTTCAATACCAGCACCACATCCTGTGCCAGCCCCACTCCCAGACCAGGATGGGCTGAGCCAGCCACAAATGAAGAAAGAAGGAGAAGGAGAAGGAGAAGAAGGAGAGGAAGAAGAGGAAGAAGAGGAAGAAGAGGAAGCAGAAGCAGAAGGAGGAGGAGGAGGAGTTATCTGGTGATAGGCACACTGTGGGCCTCTTTGGGGAAAGTAAGAGCTTACAATCATGCTCTGAGAGAAAGACCTGGAGGATAAATTAGGGCAGAAGACAATAGCCTTCTCTCTGGTAGTTACACTGAAGTCATGTTCCATATTTGGTTTTATTTCTTGTGTTGTTTTCTTGAGAATATTTAGTTGTTTCAAATTTGTTTAATCTTTTCTTTTTGAAAATCTTTGCAAACAATGTTTATCCAACTGTCACTTGACCCTGGAGGACCTGGAGGTCACAAAATTTTTTAGGTTGAAAAACAGTAAGAGTGTTCCTATGAGGTGTTTTGACTTCGTGGCTCTCTCATCTATCAATACTTCAGCCAGCATACTAGAAATGGGATTCCTTCAGACTTTCCCCAAAGTTCCCCATGAGCATACCATATTTGGTACAATATCTTAGTCATGTACACAATGGCTGTGGAAGAGGCCAGGTGAGAGGATGACATTAGTAATGTAGAACATAACAATGCACAAAGATAGATGAACAATTATCACACAGTTTTAAGATCTTTGGAATAAGTATTAGCCAAACCTAGGTCAAGCCAGGTTACTTAGACCTCACATGTCATTGTGCTCCAGGGCTGCCTTGGTGGCCTGCATGAGCCTTCTCAGCTCCCTCTTGGCCTGATCGACATCTTCAGGCCTCACAGGGCCCTTCTCCAGTCTTTGGACTTCTGCCTGGAGCATCTGGAGGACAAGGCAAAGCAAAAATAAGGCACTCCCAGGAAAGACACAAAACCATTCCTTTGGTTGGTGCTGTGTACCCAAGGTACCCTGATTTTTTTTTGGGGGGGTACCCTGGGTTAAAATAAAAATTAAATAAAAATTCCAGCCAAGATTGGGAGCACTGGAGAGAATGAAGGAGGGATATTATAGCAGGCATAATTGGTCAGGTGAAATTCTAGGGAAAGTGTCCTTTTTTAGAACTTAAAAATTTTATTTTCCTAAGGGACCTTACACTTGCCAGGAAAGCTCTTATGCTGCTGAACTATATTCCTGACCTTTCCTAAGAATTTTTTTTTTTATTTCCGGCTCAGCCTGCCCTGAGGGTGAGGCTAGCATGGTACATGGTGGTGCTGGGGATGGAACCTCGGTCCCCTGGGCCTGCCTAAGCAGGTGCTTCCACTGAGCTATCTCACTGGCCCCTCCAAATAATTTTTTTTTTTTGGCAGAACCAGGGATTGAACTTAGGTCCTTGCGCTTGCCAGGGAAGCATCTATTCCACTGAGCCATCTCCCCAGCCCTCCAAATAAATTTTTAAAGGGTACATATTCCATGACTTCATTATGTGTGCCAAAGAGTGTACTGAATAAAGTGATTCAAGTACACTATGTTCAGCTCCATAGTTCTTTCTACTAAATTAGTAAAATAAATAAATAGGTAAATAAAAATAAACCATAAACTGATTGCTATACACAAGAATAAAATAATACTGTGCTCAATGCAAAGGTTATTCAGATCCCTAATATCCTCCTGGAAATGCCTTTTGGTATACATGGGTATAATACTGTCTATAATTCCAAATTACTTGGGGGAGGAAGAGAAGGGAGACTTCAGCAATACTGTGTCAGTCTACAGGAGCGTCCTTCAGAATGTTTGTCTACTGCTCATAGAATATATGAACAAACAGACTACATATGCTTCAGGATTGATTGTTACCTTAATCTGCTTTGTGGGCTGGGACTCCAGAAGCACCTCCATGTAGAGTTCGTACTTGTTCTACACATATACACACATACAAAAAATCCATTGGAGGTGTGTTAGAAGATAATGCTACCTTGAGGAATTCTTTGTTTGAATAACAAAGAAATTAAGAGTGTCAGTTTTATTTTTAGAAGTTATATAAAATGTTTCCGTGCTGTAGTAAATCATGTACACTAACATTTATGAAACTGAACATTCTTTGAAGCATGTTTAGATGTTAAGTACTGATCACTTCAACATACTGCCATAAATTACTTTGCCTGCATACAACAAATGGTCCCCTGCCAGCCAGAAGCTCTACAGATGTAGGTCTTGTATCTGCTGAAGGACAACTTCCAAGTGACAAGGGCATTTCTGGAGAACAAGCCACTGGTAAGCATCCCTTGTCACTAGAGAAATTAGAAAATGGCATCCCGGTTAAGTAATATAATTTCAAGGCAGATTCTATATGACATTTGCTTTCAGCATGAAATCACAAGAAACTTATAATTCCATAAGGATTCATATAAAATTACACATCTGTGATTATAAAAGTTTATATGTTATATATGTAGCAAGTATACAGTTAGGAAGCTTGATGGACAAACATGTGCAGTGAGCTCACTGGGTGCTTAATCAACAAGGCACAGATGTGTGTCTATGGCTAAGGTCATGCATAGCTTTTGGTGTTCTCCGTGCAGTTGAGACTTGAGGAGTAAGCTCATTCCCTAAGTATGGCAGGAGGAAAATAGCACATAGCCCCTTGTTGCACAGAAAGTGAATATTTTGCCTACCTTAATTTCTTTCAAGAGGTCACCAAATATCAGAGAACTGTTGCAAATGTCTTCAAAGACATCTCCAAAAACCTGCAGTCTGTCGAACTGTTGAGAGTTGCATGTGCGTATTTTCTGGAGTTCCTAGGGTAAAGAGAATGAGCCCATTTCCCATGGTCTTTATTCTCTCCTCAGAATAGTTCTTTGGGTTGAGGAACCAAAGGGCATATTCACCATCACCCATATGTGCAACTTCTAGCTGTCTCTCAATGCCAATAAGACCATGAAAGGAAAAGGTTTTGAACTAATTCAAGGCAAAAAAGCAGCCATAATACTGGAACTGAAGACTCACTGAAGAAGCCACCCAGAACTGCTTGAGAAAGTGGCAAGAATGGTGGGATAAGCATGTTTGAAGTGAGGTAAATATTCCAATGGGAGATTAATGGCAATGTTGGAATTTTGGGAATAGTTGTTGGAATTTTTATTTGTACACATTTCAATGCATAATATATAATTCATCTTGGAGAAATGGCACATATACATATCATAGCTTGATCCTTTTTTCTTTCTCCTTCCCTTTCTCCCTCCCATCTCCCCTATCCCTAGGTTCCCTTCCCAACCTCACAAAGCTTGTCTCCTTGCTTTACTGCATTTGACAATCATACCTCCTATTCAAATGGCACCTTCTATGGTCCCCTGTTATTATCTAATGATGATGTAGAGTGATCTCAGTACCTGGCTCTTTGGTTCCATTCTACCTGCACATATAAACTAGGTACCTGAGGACAATTCTCAACCCATCAAGGTCCTTGAACTGGAACTGATCCTGCGTGGTTAGCGCTTCAAACAGCCCTCCTTACCTCCTCCAACTTCTTTTCATGGCTGACTGCCACTTTGCTCCCAGTGAAGTCACTCTTCAGATCTTGCTTTGCTACAACTTCTTTTTGGAAACTCAAGAACTTCTTGTACCTGTCAGCTTTTGTCACACTGGCTAGGTAGGAGCTGATGTACTGATACTCATCTGGGCCCTGGGGAGACAGGGTACACTGGCGGCTGGATCCTGCTCCTTTGAACCTCAGCACCTTCATCTCAGGCAACCTGAGCTCTTCTCTCCGGTGTCTCTCTGAGGGGTGCTCAAGCACCTCTTCCTGCTTTTGTGCTTCCTGCAGAATTTGCTTTGGAATGAAATCCTCAGAAGTGTGCAAAGTTTGTGAAACTTCTCCTTGTGGGCTTAAATACTTAAAGAGCTTCGTGTTCTGAGCATGGCTGGGAACGAGTGCTGTGTTGACAGTAAAATAAGACAAAGCATTCTTCATCTCAGCAGTCTTCCTATCTGTGGCCTTGCCTGTTCTTGCTGGGGGCATCGTCTCCCACCGTGGCCTGTGGGCATTGCACCAGTGACGCACAATGGTCTCCTGTGGCCTGTAGAGCTTGTTGGGGTTCAGGTACCCTGAGATGTAGAGATAGATGTCATCTCTGTGGTCCTTCTGGAGTCTGTTCAGAAGCTCCCTTAGGTTACACAGAGTTTTAACACTGCAAAGCCCACATTGTTTCCGTCTCAGGTAGACTGTTTGGGAAAGATAAGGACATGTGCATGAAATATCATAGTTAGTCCCACCATAAACTAGCCATACCCATTTCTTGGGCTGGCATATCCCATACCCAAAAGTGGGGTCTCTAGGAAGGCTGTGGTTGCTCTAAAGGAAAAAGAAGCAAAACTCTAGAAAAAAAAGTCTAAAACATTAACTGTAATTCTAAATGATGACGCATAAGGATGCCTTTTTGATGTACTAAATAGTATACTCTAGGGAATAAATAAATTATTTTTTTCCCTTTGTATTAAAAAGTGTCAGGATCCCCTACAATTGAGGTACCTTTCATTCCTTGCTATTCTGTCCTCACAAGGAATCACCTATGGCTATGGTGACAGGACAATGGCTCCTCCCACACAGGACTCTGCTCCTTGATTCCCCAGTAAGAGGGCTGTATTCCAGAACAAATCTCAGGATACAAAATTGTAGGAAGCCTTGGTTTCCCTGCCTGTTCCTAACTACGTGACTGCAGACCTGTTATGTTATCTCTAAGAGCCTCAGCTGTTCCTCTGCACCATCAGGATAATCACTGTTGCAGAATGGTTCCTGGACCCCCATGTAATCTCTTTGGGCAAGGAAACACTGGGCGTGGTGTAGACATTCCATCACTTGCTCCCATTCTTATCAAAGCACAGCAGCACCAAACATTCTAAAAGATTCTGAGTCAGCCTGAATTTGTCCTAATAATGAGTTGCCATCCAAAACTAAGGAAGTGGGCTTCCACCTGGGCTGCTGAGCAGTTTGATGTCTGTCCCCAGAGCCAGCAGTATGGCCACCTAAGGAGCCTGACAGGTCTACAAAAGGAGTTCATTTCTCCAGAGAGGCCGAGGTCTCCTGTGTTCCAAAAGACCAAATGACTCTACCAGGTGGTAAGCGAGGCCCCAGGGGACCAGCAGACCTTGCACAGGCCCAGGATATACCTACACCCAGCTTCAAGTCTGTCTCAGTTACTCTTCTCTCACTTCCGGGACAAATACCTGCCACTCAGAATGAAGGAAGGAGGGCTGGCAAGGTATCTCAATGGTCTAAAGTGCCTGTTTAAGCAAGCTTAGAGAGGTGTAGGGGACTACAGTTTGATCCCCAGCACCACATGTCCCACCAGCCCTGCCCTCCAGGCAGGCTAAGCCCACTCCTCTAAAAAAAATGAAGGAAGAAAGGGTTTATTTTGCTCACAGTTACTGGAGGTTTCAGTCCATACGTGGCTGACTCCAAGGCAGTGTGGCACATGGAAGAACGGAGCCTTTCATGTTAGTAGCAAATGCAGAGAGCAAAATGGAGGTATAGCAACAACAATGGCAACAGAGAGCAAGTTTATCTCTCTGCCTCTCTTATGTTACATTCAGACTGTCTGCCCCAGGCTGGGTGTAGCACTCACATCCATAATCCCTGCAGTACTCAGCCCCATAATCCCAGCCTGGGATCATGAATTAACAAAACTGTAGAAGTGCACCTCAATGACTGCATGAGGCTTTGGGGGGACAAATACACATAAACCATAACAGAGTCCCCAGTGACAAGGACCATGGTGATCAACCTCTTCCCCACTGTGAAAAGACACACTGAGAAGTGTCATGAAACCAAGTGTGGTCCAGATAGCCAGCTAGGAGTAGAGCTGTCCTCTCATCACAGCCTTCCCCTATCTGTCATAACCACCTGAAGAAAGGGAAGCAGAAGACCTTCGGGAAAGAAGTGATATACAAACTCATTTCTGTGCCAAATCTGTGGGGGAAGCCTTACCTATCAGGACGCATCATGGTCTCCCTTTCTATCTGAGAGAAGAAACACAGCCCAGAGAAAGTGAGGCACATCAGTGAGTTCCCTACTGTGTGACAAATGACCACAGATGATCAGCTTCAGTGGCATCAGCATGAAGTCCCCATTCTGCATGCTGGGCTCTCTGCTTGAGACCTCACAGCTACAAAAGTGAGGCAACAGCTAGCTGGGTTCTCTACAGATTGGAGGTAAAGTCAGTTGCAGACACATTCTTGTTATTATCAGAACCCACCTCCATCTAGTTGTAGGATGAGGTACCCATAGATGGCCATCAGTGGGTTTGTTCTCTGCCCCTGGGGCCTGTCCATATTCTTGACTCACAGGCCCCATCTCCATCTCCATCTCCATCTCCCAGCAGGAAAACGCCTCTGAACCCTGTACTCCCTCTTTGTAATAGCCTTTTCTCACCATGACCCACAAGATGCTGCTCTGACTTTAGACCAGCTGTACCCTAAACCACAAAGCAAACACACAGGCTCTATCTCTCCTTTCTGCTGATCCAGGTGATGCCAGGTGTATACACCTGGGGCTCAGAAATTCTGCTACATCTGAACTGTGCATTCCTCACTAACACAGTAAAGTCCAAAGTCCAGCCTCCCAGCTGTCTAGCATGGACATGGACCATCACTGGCTCTTGCATGGACCACCAGGGCTCTATGTGGAAGCAAATTTTTCCAACCAGGGGCTTCTTGAAAAAATAAAGACAAACACTTATGAACAGATAAAATGTTAATAGAACCACTTCTCAAGACAATCATAATTCATCAAAAGCTCTAACACAGACATCAAGAAAGACAGATCATACTAAGTTTGCAGAAAATAGAAGAAAGCCACTCACATGTTGTTATGTCATGCTTGATTTTGGCTATTTCTAAAGAGTCTCGAGGTCTTTAGAATTAATCAACCTCCATGCCTAGCACATCTTTGAGTTTGATTATGGAGATACTTACTTTTCTAGACTTAATAAACCCAGAATCCCATTCTGTTTGCTATGACCTATAATGTCTGCTATGTATTATCTCCTGCCATATAGTAAATATTACAATTATTGAGAAACAGTGGCTTTGTATATCCTGCCATCTTTAGGGCACACAAAACCCAAAACTTAAACTGCTTATTAGAAAAAGTCTTTCTCTCACAAATGACCTGAAAACAAATTTGTTTTAGGAAAAACCAAACATTTTAAATGTCTATAGGGGGCTTGAGGGTAGCTCAGTTGTTTAAGCGCCTGCTGGGGCAAACCTAACCAGGTGTGGGGACCACGGTTTGATCCCCAGCTCCCCATGCCTTACCAGACCCACCCTTAAGCCAGCCTGAGCCAGCAATAAATAAATAAATAAATGAATAAATAAATAAATAAATAAATGTATTTTGACTAGAAAGACTTAGAAATCAATTTTTGGATGAGGTTTATATTAAATATTTTCAACTTTTCAAGGATTGAACATTTTTAAACACAGAGTGTTACTTTTTTTCTTGTAAGAAAATCATCTATTCTTCAAGATAGAATGTCCATTAAGATTAAGGCATGGAAAGGAGGGGAGAAAAATGAATTAAAAAAAGAAACTAAGGGGCCAGGAGATACAGCTCAGAAGTATAAGGGCCTGCCTGGCAAACATAAGGTTCAGAGTTCAATCCCTGGTACTGCAGGAAAAGAGGAAGAAGAAGAAGAAGAAGAAAGGAAGAAGAAGAAGAAGAAGAAGAAGAAGAAGAAGAAGAAGAAGAAGAAGAAGAAGAAGAAGAAGAAGAGAAGAAGAAGAAGAAGAAGAAGAAGAA